TTGTTCTTTCTTATTGTTTGCTATCATTTAATTCGTTATGAACATTGTACGATATAATAAAGTGAATTTGGTGAAAACGATAAATAAACATGAATTGATGTTGATTATAGCCAAATGATATTGTTGAGAAACAAATTTAAAAAGAATTATAGTTTAATAATTTATTTTAATGTGATCATTGGACTTATCATCGTAATGAACGAAAGCAATATAGATGAATGAGTGGTTAATTTTGTAATGAAAAAAGATCACATTAAAACATGTAACTATATCCCACACATGAACAAGACACAACTATTTACATTCATTAAATGTATATTTGGATGCTCGCGTGTTTGGCGTATTACTATAGTATACGTTTCAAGTCAATCAGTTAGTTGTTTGTCATTGAGTGTATGGTTCGGCTGTCGTTGTTGTTATCGTCGTTCTTTTTGTTGTTGGTAAATTCAAAGAGTGGTGGGTGATTAAAACGTGTTCATTTATCAGTTGCGCACAGTGTTTGTTGCGAATACAAGTATGGGAAAAGTGCTAAACGTGGTTCGTTTTATTGATCTAGAGAGGGAATCAAATTAATTGATTTTATTTGTAAGAAAATGTTTTGAGATACCTATTTGCATAAATATCCAAAGAAAAAATATTAGAAAAGAAAAAATGGCAGAGAGTGTATTATAGCAGTATATATAGTCGATATATGTATAATGTGCTTCGAATATTCTTCGAACTTCTTTTTTTTGACGGATAATCGGCTAATTCGGTTGATTTTAAAAACATCTAGAATCTATAAAATACATCTCGTAGAATATTCAAGTGACACAACAATTTAAATATTTTCCATCAGCAAATACTCCATCAGTTCGCATGTTTGCTCATTTGTTCATTCGCTTGGTATGTCGTTGTGACGTATTTTCAGTGTTCATTATTAGTCGTTTTTATCTGTGCACACATTCGTGGAGACTTCTAAAATATCATCATAGCTTCGTATCCTCCTTTATTATATGCAATAGGTATAATATGTAAATTAATCAACTGTTGTGGAAATGTGTAAATCATAGAAATGACTGTCTGGTTGTGGTTAATTCGGCGAGTTTTTGTTTACAATTTTTGTTGAGTGTTTTCACAGCCGAAATATATCTATCAACCCAGCAAACAATTGATAGGGCAAATGCATCCATTATGAAGCACATATTGACGGTCGTTTTCGGGGTTAGATTCGTGTGTAGTTTCAGTCATTTCCATAGGTTTGGCATGGTGTGAAAACATGGAAAATGGGAAAGACAACCATTAGTATCAGTTGAACTGGGTATAAAATACTTTTTTTAAATTAAAAACTTTACTCACCTACGGGCACTCCCCCTCCGTACAATGTTGTACTATTGTACAACTAGACCACAAGACTTTATATAGTCTGTTCATGTCTAGCTACGCTAACTATAATAGTTAAAAAAAATTATTTTATGTAATTTTTTGAATGTATGATTAATTGATGATGTTTGTTAGTTGACATTGTTGTTTTAGTCCGGCGGTCTTAACAATGAAACTGGCAATGGTACATCAAAGATCCGGCAAAGTCCTATGTAATTTAAAGCAAATACATTAAATAATGAATATTCTGTTCCAATTGATTCATACCTTTGAGCATAATGCATTTTGCTGCAACAATATCTCGGTGCCAAGTAACTGTTTGTGGAACAACATCATCATCATCAACATTTAATGGCCAATTTTTGTTGGTAACTTTAACCTTTGATATTAAACGCCCAGTCCGAAGTTTTTCGTTCACAGCCTCACGATTGCCATCGATAATTTGTCGCTTAATAATTGCACGTTTTCTTCTCAAAACACGTCTGTTGACCGTTGACACAATGATATCTGGCAGTCCAGCGACTGAATCTGGCAGGCCATCAATCTTTTTCGCTCTACAATCGTAGCACAGTTTAAATCGATCATCTTTTGTGTGCCTTGGAAAACGTTCCTGACAATTCGCGCATGTTTGTGATGTTCCCCATTCATCTTGCATTTCAACTTCTGAATGTCCAAGTTTCTTAATGCTCACACGAAACTTACGCGATCCCGGACATCTTTTACACCAAATTGAACCAACGACGGTTTGTTGTTTGTCACACACATGGCGATTTGATCATTTACTCTGGTTGAGCGAATGTGATGGTCTAAATCCAGTCGTGCATATTCACGCGTCGCATAAGCTGCCATTCCTTTTCGTAACATTTTAATGCGATATTCAATGTATGATTTCCATGTTGAATTACGTGGTGATGGTGGACGATATGGGTATGTTTTGAGATGTTCCTTCTCTTCGATATCAAACCATCCAGCCAACTTTTTCGCTTCTTTGTCTCGTTTTTTCTGCTGAGTTTCCCAATGAAAACGCTGGTTTGGTATTATAATGTTTTCCTTCAAAATGCAAAATGATACAAAAAACTATGAGTTTCTATTCAAAACCATTTCAAATTACATTTCAAAATATCTTACCTCAACAGCCGGCTCATCAGGTGTTTTTTGAATGTTGCGACGCACTACAGTTAACCACGATTTTTCATTCGGATCGATTCCAATGATGTATTTCTTGCCAATGAGTTTTTCCGGCCCCCGATTCGCTTGGTTTGTTTGCTGTGGTCGTTGTTGTCGCTGTGGTTTCTTGTACATTATGGATATTGAAACACTATCGGTCAAAATCTGATGATGGAATGGTTTCGATTTGCCCAATTTATTTATTTTACCGACATCGAACAACATATTCCATAGACCTGATCGATCAGTTCGGGTGTAGTACTCTACATTTCTCTTATTCATCCGGTTGGTCCGCGTATTGAGAAAAGAAGGCACCAAATCGAGCTTGTTTACAATTTTATTATACAAGTCCTTAATGTCCAATCGCACGTTTTTCAAATGGTAGTCGCATAATGGTATAAGAGCAAAACTGCTTATTTTTGGTGGTCGATTGATTGTTGGCTCTTGAAAGTTCGGATTGTTACGAAACATTTCATGAATGGTATTTCATTGTTCGGCATGACTGTGATACACTTCTATTTGCCGTTGCATTTGACCGAACAACCACAGTGATTCAAACCAACGATATTTTGCGAAAAATTTCATACTCACTGTTCCCGACCATCCAATTTCAGTCAAATCTCTCATTAAAATATTGAATTTTTCAACGCGTTGTGGATCCACATTATTACCATTATTACCATTTGTTAAATTCTTAAATCGATATGAAAACTCTTTGGCATTTCTGATGTCGATGCTATCAAATCTTGAGCCATTGTGGAATCGATTGCGATACCAACAACGCATTCGAAAAAAATTCTCAAGTCGTTTTTCACACCATGTGTTGGTATTGGTTTGAATGTTTGTGATATATTGTTTATAAAAATATCTCAAACCATTTCCCAACTTTTCATCATCTGGCCATCGGAACTGTTCTTCACTATTTCTTTCTACCATGAAACGAAACTCGGGCAATATCCGATATTCACTATTAATATTGTTAACGTGTTGGTTTAATACCGCTCTGAAACAATCGGCAATGAACAGGCTTGGATGTGGTTGCAAAAAAAATGCACGATCGTCATTATCAAGTACTTCATTCAAAATAAAAAGAATAGAAAGTGATGCCAATGCTGCCACTTCTGTCATTTGAACACTGCGCTCGAATAGCATTTTGGTCACAGCTTCTCCAACTCTTTCAATCCGTTCATGTTGTTGTCGCAGGATTGTTTGAAGTCCACATTTTATTACAACGTATTTGCTTTCTTCTGGTTGAATATCATCGAGCTCGTCGTCATCCATGTCTTTTTCTGTTCATTCTCAAAAAACTGATTAAATTATTCGAAAATAAAAAATAGACACAAATTTAGAAAAAAAATGCAACAAAAATAGCATAGATTACGAATAAAATGAGATCACAATTTAAATGACAATCACTTATATCACAATTCAAATTAATCACTTCTTACCTCAACGATGTCACTCTGTATTCTGATTCAAATGATGAAATGTTTTCCAATATTCCGCAGATGAAAATTCTGTTGGAATATTCACCGTCAATTTTATGAATGCTTTCTTATTTTGAAATAACAACAGAGACAATCTCAAAACCAACAGTGAATTTATCCGTTTAACATCGAACAAACAAAATCATTGGAACAAATGTTAGCCAAAAATGACGACAAACAAATTGTTTCATACTCTAATATAAACACTCACACATAATTCTCAAGAATTCCTTTTACAAGCAAAGCACAATTTGTTACAAACAAAAAATGAGAACACACTCATATCACAATTCAAATGAATAACTTCTTATACTATATAACGCTGTGTCCTGATTAAAACGATGAAAATGTTTTTTTTTTATTTTGAAATGAAAACAAAGACTGTCACAAAACGGACTGTGAATCTTTCCATTTGACATCGAGTGACTTCTACAGTTACGTTCCAAACACACCAAACCGTTGCTAAAATGACGATAAACAAAAAATGAATCTCATGTACAAGAATTCCATTTATTAATCACTGAATTTTGTTTTTTTTTTCAACACAATGGCAACTTAACCATAATTACTTACCTTATTCTTAACAATTACTTCAAAATATTTTGATGCGAAAAAATCCCTATTTAGTTCGGTGCCAGAATTATAATTTCATACATTGTTCAAAGAAATTAATTGATACGATGCAATGTTTACGAAGCACATTTTGAATGTAATCAGAAAAATCGGCTTCGATATGATACACACCAATACACACAGCTACCAACTGTCAAATGTCGTACACATTCAAACATGTTTCGAATTCGAAATTCGAATTTGAATTATGAAATAAAAAAAATAAAAAAATGTTTCTGAAACTAAAATCAAATCAAACAAATCTAAAAAAAGGTACATTTATAAATGTATTTCACAGTCACTTGAAATTCCTACGCAATGTTTTTTTTATTCATGCACAATCGAAATACACACAGAGAGAAGAGAGTAAGATTTGTATTTTCATCCTCTTTTTTTTCCGGTTTGTTTTTCAAATTTCATTTGCTTAAAATCAATCGTATGAATACGATATTATGAACTCAACGAGTTTATGTTATTTACATTTGTTTACATTGTATTGCCGCTACAGTTTCTTAGAATATAATAACAAAAAGAGAAACAATCGAAACACACAGAAGATGTTGTTGTGTATCGCAACACGAAAAAGCCGAAAAAGTGGTTCACATTATGCCTATATTCTACCTTCCATTTGACACGAAAATTGCCACAAAAATGGGTTAAAGCGTTACATTTTTTAACGTTAAAATGTCCTAAAAACGTTACATATTTGTCCGTTGGGAAATTAATCGCAGTAAAAAGTGCAGTTATATATAAACTATAGTTTATAGTATCAAGATGTAAGGTTTTTAAGATGTTTGGTTGAAATGATAGCTCATTTCCAGTCAAAGAAATAACCACACCAGTGTAAATCAAGTCACTTCAATCCAATATGTCACATTTAGATGTTTTATGACATAGGCTACTTAATAACAGTGTCAAAAAAGTTTTATGATAACGCTCCAATTTAACTAACCTGCTTTAATAACGATTCTGCAAAACACGTTTTTTTCAATTTGTGCTCAAATTAAAAGTGTTTAATTCAATTTTGGAACTCATATCAGTATTAGTTTATATCCTCCCAAAATAAACAGAGTTGTTATTGGCACCGAAGAAAGTATGAACATTTGTGAGTGAACTAACAACTCTGAAAATAAGTAACTCTTTCAAAATGCGATAAATATATAACAAAATATACTCTGCTTCATTTTCAGATTGAATAGTTCATTAATCAGTTTGGTCGCAATTTCTGCAAATCCAGAAAATGCAACCAGTTTAGTATCGAATGGATCACAACGGGCAACGGTTCCAACAATTTTGAAAACTGTTCACAACGGAAGCGGTACAACACTTGTAAACATGACAAATACTGAACTATTGTGTAAGTGAATATGATGATTTTTTTATTATATTATAAGAGGTGTAATGCGCTCAATAAGCGTAATGCTTTGTTTGCCGAACTTCGTATAGACAGTGCCATCTATATATAGAATGGGATATTATTTCACAAGTTTGAGAATGAGCGCATATGTTATTCCAAAAATTGTTGAAAAATAATTTAATAAATTGTTTCATTTTTTTGTTTTGAAAGTGAAGTTAGCACAATTAGCATTAGATAATTTCTATTTAAAAAAACATAAATTTAAATGCGTTTTAATTTAACTTAAAAAGCCTCGGGTGTAGAGTGTGTAGATCTTGTAGAAATGATTTTGTTAAAATCTCCATACGTAAACTCATAAGTGTGAGTGTGACATTTGACAGATAGATACAAAACGTAATGTTATTGTTCTCTTACATACTTGTCATACACTCGTGCGAATTATTCTGTTCTGTTAAGTTCGTTTATTCCGTTCATTTATTTTATTTATATTCTTAATCTGGCAATCACATCGCAAAATTGCGTAAAAATGGCAGATTCTATTAACAGTTTTATTGATCTTGACACCGGCTGTATAAAATATCCTGATGGAGACTTTACTTTTATATTAAACTTTATTCTGTTTAGTTCGCCAAAAGATAGAGTGAGGGCGTTAGTGTGACAGATTTCATATAAAAAAGCTACTGTATTAGAGATCTTCTGTGCACGCACCACAGTGTAGAGCAGTAGAGGGAAAGGAGAGAAGCGGTTTATATTATAAGTTAGT